GTGTAAAGCTTTGGGTTCAACCTCAGTACTTAAGAAAGAAACAAAGGAAAGAAAGCAAGTGAGTGAGCAAAAAGGAAAAAACTACCAAGCATGCAAAATATATATATACACACACACACATATATAAATGACCTGTAATATGGAAAAAAATAATCAATTAAAACTCACCCAGAATGGATACAGATTTTAGAATAAGCAGTCAAGGACATTAAAGTAGCGATTTGAATTGTCTTCCACACGTCCAAACACCTTGAGTAATGACAAATCTTGAACATATGAACAGAAGATATTAAAAAAGAATCAAATGCAACTTCTAGAGATGAAATAAATGTATGAAATAAAAAACACACTGAGCACAACTGGAGAAGAAAAGGTTAGCAAATTTAAAGCATAACAATCAAAAGGAAGCAGAAGAGAGAAAAGAAAAAGAGTAAGGGATTGAAAACTGCCACAATTCCAGCAGCCTAAGAGATATATAATTATAGTTCCAAGGAAGCAACAGAAGGAAAAAGAAAAGGCAGGAATCTTCGAACAAATTCCAAAACTGATACAAAGTTATAAACTCACAAATTTAAGAAGCTCAGTGAACTTTCTAATACAAGAAATGTCAAGAAAACTACTCAGGGTACCAGGTACACAGTGCCCGCGGGGCTCATGGATGCAGCCAGAGGTGCGTGGGGGGCACAACTCCCAAGCAGCACTCACCCAAAGTGGACACAGATTTCCTGTGTGAACCACGCGAGTGAGAGGACACTGGGATAAGCATCTTTAATAGTGACAACTTAAAAAACTGTCAACTAAGTAAGCTTCTACAGCCGATGAAAGCTATCTTTCAAAAGATGACATTATCTTTATGACAAACAAAAACTGACCAGCAGACCTGCACTCAATGAAATGCTGAAGCAGCTTCTTCAGGGAGAGAGAAATGGCAGCAGGGGCATCTGCCCAAAGACACAAAGGGCACTGGGACAGATTAGATGACACGGGTAAAGCCTTTGAAAGACTCAGCTACCAGAGCTCACTACCAAAGACAAAGAGTCCTGCATCCTGCAACAAGAAACTGGATTTGTAGTTTCCAGCCTTCCTGAAGAAATCTTCAGTGCAGGCAGTTTCACTGGTGAGTTCCATCTAACGTTTAAGAAAGGAATGATACAGATTGTGACCAAACTCGTGTGGCAAGCCTAGGCAGATGGAATATTGTACAGTTCATTCTATGATGGTAATAGCACCCTCAACCCATTAAAGTAGAAGCAAAAGGAAAGTTCTTCGCTGTGCTCCTTGTAAGTAGCGTCATATTTTATAAGACTATTTTTCCATAAAACTAGGAACTGGAAAATATACCCATTCTTAGCAGTTCTTTTCGAGATTGTAGGGGAGGTGTTACCCAAACAAAGAGGAGGAAAAAAAGAAAGAAAGAGAAAGAGAAGAGGCATCCAATTTGGGAAGGAAAAGTCTACGTACAAAATTTGACAGAATCTTCAAAAGTGCTACCATAATTGATAATATCTTAAAATGTAAGATCAACATACAAAAATCAGTATCTGTAATAAAAATAAAAATTTTAATGTAAAACAGTGTCATTGATAAATATACCCAGAGATATAATAAACTTAGGGATACATGTGACACAGAGGGCTGCAGATAAAGCTCAGTGGCACAGGGCAGCCTGACAAGCACGAGGCTCTGAGTTCGACTCTTGGTACAAAAAAAAAGACATAAAACAACAAGATACAAAAGAATGAGTAGGAGAATGGAGGAAAGAAGGAAGGGAAAAGGAAAAAGACATGCATTTGTGTATATATACACACATACACATAAGATAGCTAAGATGACTATACCACTAATTGTGTTGGAAAAGAGCAGTTAATACTCATATGATTAGATCAATTTTACACGTCTATATCTGGTAATCTAAGCAACCCTTTTGACGGTAATAATATGCAATATTACAACTATTGTTAAATTCCTATCACCTTGTTTTGAAAACCTATATTGTGATAGTTTGGGGTTTGTTGTTATCTATTTGTCTCTTTTGCTTTATAAGTAGCATCTTTTCTCTGTGCCTTTTTCTCTTAAACAACAACAAAAAAAGAATGAGTAAAAACTACAAAAGCATTTCTGAGAAAAATATAGGACCTAAATAAATAATAAGGCATACCATATTGATGTCAGAAAACTCAGTATTATTAAGATGTCAACTCCCTATGCCTACCTTCAGATTCAATGTAACCTCAAACAAAATTCTAGTAGTTTTTTTTTCTTTTTTCAAAGAAATTGATGAGCAGATAATAAAAGTGAAACGGCAATTCATGGCCAGGTGTTGGTGGTACATGCCTGTAGTCTCAACACTCGGGAGGCTGAGACAGGAGAATGGCTGTGAGTTTGAGGCCAGCCTGGGCTGCATAGTGAGTTCAAAACCAGCCTGAACTGCACAGTGAGACCCTGTCTCAAAAAACAAACAAACAAACAAAAAAACAAATGAGGAAATGCAAAACAGACTAGCCAAAATAATCAAAGACCAATTATAAAATCTAACATTTAATAAAACTATGGAAGAAAATATGAGAATATTTTCTAGTTGCAGTAGGGAAAGGTTTCTTGGATATACCAAGAGAAGCAGATCTGCCGTATAAAGAAAAAAATTGATACACTGAATTTTATTAAAATGAAAAACTATTAAGAGACCAAATGACAAATCATAACTGGGAGAAAGTATTCCCAAATCATAGATCTGAAAAAAGTTTGTTTGCAGGATACATAAAGAACTTCCAGCTGAATGTGGTGGCGCATGCCTGTAATCTCAGAATTTGGGAGGCTGAGGCAAGAGGATTGCTGTAAGTTTGGGATCAACCTGACCACCTAGTGAGTTCAAGGCCAGCTCTGAACTACACAGTGAGACCCGTCTCAAAAATACGACACAACCAAACAAAACAAAAAAAGACTTTCACAATTCAGGAAGGGTTGGGGATATATCTCAGTGGCACAGTATTTGCCTAACTTGCACGAGACCTCTAGGTTTGACTGCTAGCCTGAAAAAAGAAATTAAGAAAATAAATAAATTAATGGGCCAAAGAACCAAACACATTTCACCAAACAAGTATGCAGATGGCAAATGAGCATGTGGAAAAATACTCAACTTCATTAATGACTGGTTAAATATATATTAAAACCACAATGAAACAACTACGACAAACAAACAGGCCAAAACTAGAATTGACCACATCAAATGTTAAGATGTGAGGGGACCGGAACTCTTGCACACTGCTGGCAGGAATGCAGAAGTGCACAGCTACTTTGTAAAATAGTTGGTCACACACACAGCTACCATATTAGCCAGGGATTCCACTCCTAGGGATCAGTTCAAGAGAAATGGGAGCCTTTGTCTATGTCGATCCTTGGACACAAATGTTCCTAACAGCTTCATTATAGAAGCTCAAAGTTTTGAGACCTATCACATGGATGAAGCTCAAAAGACAAGCTGAGTACAATAACCCAGACCAAAAAAGCATACACCCACAATAAAATTCCATTTACACAGAATTCTAGACAATCTGTTCCCATGTATAATCATGGAAAGCAGGTTATCTTTGGGATGGATACTGACCTCCAGAGAAGGATATATAGATTACTGGGGTACACCAGAAGGTGCTGGGGTGGCACCTGGGGCCCCATAACGCTCTGCCCCTGGGCTCCATGCCAGTCCTAAGAGCCCATGCCAGAGGCAATGGCCATGCTCATTATCCTGACTGTGACTAGGGGTTTATCATGTCAAAACACACCTCAACAGTTTACCAAATTGTATCTCAGGAAAGCTGCTTTAAAGTGAACCAACAAGACAGGTACACTGGGGACTGAGGGTGTGGTCAAGGACAGAGCACTTGCCCAGCACAGGAGGCCCTGGGTTTGATCCCAAACACTACAAAAACAAAATAAAAAGTACATGTGGATAATAGAAATCAAGGTAGCAGTTGTAAAGAATGAGGAAGGGCTTATCTATGGAAAATTTTCTCAGATACAGTGTTAACTGAAAAGAAAATACAGTATGCTGCCATCTGTGGTTATAATTTGAACAAAAATGGTGATTTGGCCAACTCCTTCCAACGACTGATTCTACATGCACAAAATGTCTCAGGACAGACACCCAAAAATTGAGGAGAGGAAGAGGGTTGAGTTTGCACTCTGGAATGGGGGGAGGCCATGTGCAGGGGGATGGGGAGACCTCATTTTTTACTGAACACTCCTCCTCCCCCAAACATGCTACTTTATAAAACAAATAATGATTTATTGGATCCAACTCTAGCATCTGTCCTACAGGAATACTTATGGAATTGCCAAAAGATGGTATGTATGAAACTTCACTGAATGATTATTGCAGTACATCATGAACAGCTGAATAAAAACAGTTGCACACTATTGCTCATATTTAATATGTTTTTAAAATATGGAAAATAATTGCTTAAATCTTCTGCTCAGAGGGGAGGCTGCAGGTAGGGTCGAGGGAGGCTCCTGTGATAAATTACTTTCTACATTTCCAAACTGCACGAAGAACTCTGGAATGAGTATTTCCTTTTAAATTAAGAAACAAAACCAAAAGTGCTCTAAAGGATACAACTGCAAGTGTGTTTAGGTGTGTTAAGATAGATGACCATATTACTGAGTTTTTGTTGGATCACTGAACACAACTGTTTGCAGTCTCACTGTTTGAATGTCCACTTTGTATGCTTTAATCCTGTAACTTGAACAACTATTTCTAAGACGACAATATGTAATCTATTAACCAGTGATTTCTTACCGCTTTTTTTTTTGTAATTCTGTATTACTTGTACCCTTACACTGCTTTGTTTTGTTGTTTTTTTCCTTTTAAATAAAAAAAAGAGAGAGAAAGAGAGAAAAATTAAAATTAAGAAACAAAACCAGACCTCCACGGAGAGTTTTAAAGACTTAGATGAATGGCTGGTGCTGGCTGCAGGGCTGCCCTGCTCAGCGCAGTGAGTACATACCCTCCTGCGGGCCTCGGCCTTCTGGAAGCTCTCGTGCTGGATGAAGGTGGCTGCGGCTGCCACCTTGGCCGGCGGTGTGTGGTCTGCATCCAGCATGCTCACTGCTCGCTCCAGAGTCATCTCCATGTCCATAGCCCTAGACAGATAGATACATGTCAGTCAGGCTCCACAGGCACCCTCCAGCCTTTCTCTTGGTCCTGGGACGACCCTGCCAGTCCTGGGCAGCATCTAGCACAGTCAAGTCCTGGCTCTTCTTCAGCCAGAAGGCAGAGGTACTGAGCTCTGAAGATGCCTTGAGGACAATCACAACAGAGAAAAGTGAAGCTCTTTTAAAGATGAACCTGTATAGCACGATAATCATACCATAAAATAAAATATCTTGTAAGGCTATTTAGATGGGATTTAAAAGAAATCTGCTCACAGAAATTAAAAATTATTCCTGACCTGGCAATGTCACACCTACAGAGAAACACAGCCTCTCAAAAAGTATTAGACTGTTTTTCAAGATTCCTCAGAATCTTATTACATGCATTCTAAAATGCATGTATTACATAAATACTGAAAGCCAGAAAAAGTTCTATTTTGTTAAAATAAATCCCACTGTGGGGCCAAGGATTTAGCTCACAGTGTAAACACCTGCCTGGCAAGCGTGAGGTCATTGATTTGATCCCTGGTACCAATAAATAAACAAGTAAATAAATCCCACTGAGCCAGATGTGGTGGAACACACCTGTAATCTCAGCACTCTGGGAGGCTGAGTCAGGGTTGAGCTCAGCCTGGGAAACATAATAACTTAGAGAGACCCTGTTTCAAAAGAAAAAGAGAAGTTCGGCATACAGCTCAATCAAAGGTCCTAGGTTCAATTGCTAGTAATTAAGAAATAAAAGTTGGGCTGATGAGACGGAATGAAGAAAGTAACAAGTAAAGGCAATACCATTTAATCATTTGCTTTGCCATTTTAGTGACGGCTCAGTTTATGCCAATCCTGGTGGTGATATTGGAGATTAGGGTGTGGCAAAACTGTCTGGGGAAATAGGTGTGACTTGCTAATCATGAGATCCCTGAGCACATGAGAACAGATCCCAGAGCACAAGAGAACAGTTCCCAAAGCCCTGCTCGTGGACTTCTCTGGAGAACTCCAGCAGGTTCTCATTAAGACTTGACACCAGCCTGAGTAGTGAGATCCAAGCACCGCCTCTCAGATGCGGACCCGGATGTAGAAGTTCTCACTGTTTTCCTCGCGATTTGGACAGCACATAAAGACAATAGATGGGACAGTCAGGTGTTCTTTTATTTTGCTTTTTCTTCTTTTACTCGGCCCAAGCTTGTTCTTAGAGCCAGTTTTCCCCCACTCTTCACTTACTTTTTCAAATACCCTACCATTGCTTTTTGCTCATTTTATTTCTTTATTCCAGAAGACAAGAACCTGGAGTTCCACTCCAGAAGGAGCGGTGTTTACCCAGAACCCAGGAACTATTTGGTGAGCGATTTACAGAAGGAGCTATGGGACAGCAGTGGCAGGCTCTTGCTCTTCATGAACCGCAGGTGATGGGCAAATCTGATGGAATTGGACACAGGGACTTAGTCACAGAGGGCTGATGACTGCTACATGTAAAATTGCTCCCAGATGCCTCACTGAACTGTTTTCTCCCCTTTGTCTCCACCCTGGAGGTCACTGGGTCAGGCAGTCACCTCTATGGACATAGCCAAGTTAGGTCTTCTGCGAGCTCCACCTGGGACACTCTTAACCCCAGGATAGCAACATCTTAGAATCACAGTTAAAGAATGACTTCACGGCAACTGAAGGCCCACTGCTGGCATCAGAGGGGGACACATCTGACCATCTCAGGTAAAGGGACATCAAAGAAATCAGTACCTACTAGCAAGTACAGGAAGCAAACTCCCCATGACTACACACACACACACACACACACACACACACACACACGTGTACAGTGTGAGTGTGTGCAGTGGTGGGAGGTGTGAGCAGGATGTGGGCCAGTGACGGTCTCTGGGCCTCATGGCTACAACCAGACCCCCTGCTTCTGAAACACAAGTTATATACACAGAATGAGTGTAAGGTATTCACAGTGAACTGGGCATGGTGGTGTATGCCTGTAATCCCAGAACTTGGAAGGCTGAGGTAGGAGTATCATTGAGTTCAAGTCAGATTGAACTATATAATAAGACCTACCCCCCACCTCCCAAAAAGGAAAGCAGAACATTGTGGTATCTATTGTATACTGAGAATTATAGCATAATAATCTTTTTTGAAAATGTGGTACCTCAGGGTTGAATTTTATTTTTTAATTTTTTAAAATTAAAAAATTTTTTTGGTAACAGGGATTGGACTCCCAACCTTGTGCTTGCCAGGCACGTGCTTATGCTGCTGAGCTAAATCCGATAGGAATGAATTTTAATTGGTAAAAACCACACAGGGAAGCTGGGCACTGTGGTGCACAGCAGTAATCCCAGCACTCAAGAAGGTGAAGCAAGATGATCACAGCGAATCTGAGGCCAACCTGAACTATACAGGGAGACTCCATCTCAAAAAACCAAAAAAATAATCAAAGATGAAAAACTACACGGGGTATTTTATCAAGCTAGACTTTGAGTTGCTGTCATGTATGAGGAACACACCTATAAAAAGAGATGGAAATCCTTTGTGTACTCTACAGTCTCCAAACATCTTACAGCTCCCACACTGAATGCCAGTCCTAAATCTTGACTCTCCGTGCCTCAGGAGTTTTAACAGATGATAGGTCATTTGCCATGGAAGAGTGACATTCTATTCAATGCAGACTTTTTAACAAAAGATTCAGCCATTAATCCATCTCCAAAAGTCAGAAATGATTCAGAAACACTTCAACTTCCCATCTTCGGCGCCCACAAATACTTGAGTTACACGAATCCTTTATTTTCCTGAACATGACTCATCAAGAAGCTCGGATTCACTCCCAGTTGACTGTGTGGTACTTCACTTTGGCACTAAAAACAATTCCTAAATGAAACCTCAGCCAGGTTTTCCACAGCATCCAGGGAGTCCATTTTCTGTATTTTACTTCTGAAGTCCAACTCCATCAGCCTGCACGCTCCAACGCAGTCCACCTCCATTTCCGGCATCTTCTACCCTCTCTAACGCAGCCTCCAGCCACACCAGACTTCTCCTCTCACCTTCTTCCGAGCTACTGCCTTGGATCTAGGGAGCATGTCCTACCTAATCCTCATCTAGGCTTCAAGATTCCATTTGAATACTACCACTTCTGTAAAACCTTATCTACCTGCATTCTCCTAAAACAACCCCTGCCCTTGCTCCCATTTTTCTGTCTCTTCCTCCATTTTTCCTTTTCTTTTCTTCATTCCGACTCACTTATGAACACTTCTTGAAACCCTGCAGAAATGTAGCCTAAAGGATGAAGTTGGGGGTGACAGACGGGGGACTGGAAATAACAGTTGTTTCCTGGGTCCACATCTGCTGGATGAGGGGACCTAAGAAGTGAGCCCTAAGAGGTCTTTTCAACATCCATTAACATGGTAGGGTGATATTTGTGTAAAGGGGCTGCAGTAAAAGCTCAGTGGTAGAGTGCTTGTTTAGCAAGCATGATGCCCTTGGTTTGATCTGCAGTGTGCACGTTTACCTTCACATGTACGCACATACACAAACACAAGTGCACACGCGCATGCCCTTTAAAATGTCAGTGTAAGAGACAAGGAAGAAGAAGCATGTAAGATACCTTTGACTGGACTGTGAAATACCACAGTGGGGACAGTAATTTTTCTGCCTGTGCAGCCCCACAACACCCAGTAGCCTTTCCACAACCCAGCCCCACCTCAGATTGGATCGCCTGAAAACTGGAATCTGCTGTACCTCAAGGGCCAAGCTGACCTCAGATCCTGAGCAAACTGCTCCCAAGGAGCTGAGCTGTCAGCTGTCCTGTCCTACCTATCACAGGACCCAAGTGCTGCTCTGGAGTGCATGCATTTTTAGAAGCAAGGCAACCATTTCGAGAGTTCTGCAAGTGGCAACTGAGCCAAGAGAGCCTTGAACTGACCTGGAAAGAAGGACGCAGTTGAGGAGACCTGACCAAGCAAAGCAGCTGGTGATGAAGAGTACACCAGGCCCTAGCCCCTCACCCCCACCTGCACTGCTGTCTCTGAGAATGAATGAAACTGAAGACCTCTGAGGACAGCAAACAAGTGACTCCTGAGTTATGCTACCGGTCTTTGTAAATTATTAATGAGGAATAGGAGGTGGTTAACTGCAACTCCAGGTGTTTTACAATGGGCAGATTATGGGATCATAAATAGTAGCAGAGGGTTGAAAGCTTTCAGGATGGCCAGCCCCCTCCAACACGTTGCTTTGATGTGGAAGACCAGTTGTTATGGATTAAAATCTGGTGGCCACCTTAATGCCAGCTGGATTACATCAGCAGGCACCGAGCATAGATGTTCCACCCGAGGAAAGTTGCCAGCATAAACAGAGGTAGAGAAGGAAAAGCTATTGCATTGAGGCATTGAGACATTGTGGGTTCTCCTACGGGTTGCTGTTTGAGCCACTGATTCTCCTGAAGAAGCTCTGGTCCTCACATCAAGCATTGCTTCCTGGCTAGGGAGGAGAAAACGTGTGCTGATTGGTCTCCAGGATGAACTCGTCATGCTGGCTTCCTGGCATGTACTTGACTGTGCTTATCGTTGGAGGAGCTTAGGGCCTCCGTGTTGCTGAGGATAGCTATGGTGCTTTTCAGGACAGCCCTGGTCTTTGTTGTGAGTGTGTACAACCCTCAACCTAACAGCACAGCTCCTTTACCCTACTGGCACAGATTTCCTGGCTTCCACCACTGACCTTTGGGCCTTCCCAGAATGGATCCATAAAAGAGACTGGTGTGAGTCCTTCTTGTGGGCTCGACCTCCAGTTGGACTTGTGGGAGGCATTGCCATGAGCTCTAGGTCTTTATCTGGACTCATGTGGGACATTGCTGTGGGATTTAGGCCCTTGGCTGAATATTCTATGTCTTTAGTGTTGTGGATAGATTTCCTGAATTTTCTTGTGTTAACTCTGGGTGACCATTGTAAAATAATATTATAAAATCCATGTCCTGATTCTGATTGTTCTCTGCACAATCCCTGACTACAATA